GGAAGAAGGTCTTTCTCCAAATTCAAAACATTCAAAAGCAGTTGAAATTTAAAAGCACTGACATGGAGAAGGCAAATATCTTTTCCAGAAAACTTTTATGGTCAGACCCAATTGACCAAAACAATAAAAGGTATGTTAGGAGGAGTAAAGGTGAGGTTTTTAACCCCCAAGACCACGATACCAACTGTCAGGCATGGTGGTGGTAGCATCATCCTCTGGAAGAAGGAAGGAGAGGAACTATTCAGTTCAACTCAGTTTTATTTATACAGCACCAAATCACAACAACAGTAGCCTCGAGGACCTTTATTATTAAAGGTAAAGATCCTACAATAATAGCGTCTACTTCCAACTTCTCCATCTTCACCTCAGATCAACAGTTAGATGGTTGAAACTTGGATCAGGAGCTTGGTGATGGCTACCAAAAGGATATGGTCAAGGTACAGCTCGCTATGACCAAATATTAGTGGGGGGTCTGTAAGCGTTTGACCCTGAGTGGATTACAGAAAATCCCAAAATAAATTCAAACTTGTTCACCTAATTCTTGAGTTTTTAAAAGTCATTGAAAATGTAGGAAAAAGAAAAGCTCAAAGAAATAAAAGAAGAAAATTGCCCTGACACTATGCCCATGATGAGTGTGTGTTCAAAAGTTCGCCCTGTGACTATGATAACCTATGGATAAGATTTCCACCACACAGTTAAAACTGGTAAAACTCTACTGCGCATGTGCCAGCACAACAATACGATTGGTTCATTTGCTTCCTGGGTCAGCTGTGGATTGGCTGTCTTTGACAGGAGGCAGAGGCCAACTGCAATCTTTGCCATCACACAGATTTATATTTAGTGTCCTCTGAGTACCCGATGTCTCCGTTGTAATGTGTCTGCCTCCAGCTCTCCTACACAGGAGCACCACCTCTAACTGAAGGAGACACAATATGTTGTTTTCAAGGTTTTTAAGATCATTTTCAACTCCAAACATTTGGTGAATGTCTTGATTGTGTCTACAGACACTGGTAAAGTCGTCTCTGCTGACACCGTGCCATCTGATTGTGGTTTAACTTCAACCTCAGAGTTTCCCCCGGCCCAGAGTTTCTCTTTCTCTTCAGGGATGGGATAGCCACCAGGCGTGGTACTGAGGTGGTTGCTATGGTTGCCACTAAGCCTCGCTCTGACCTGATTGTTCAAAAAGAAAAAGAAAAAAACAAAAAAAAAAACAAAACAATGAGGGAAAACTTCAAAGAGGAGCTGCTCAGTTGCCTAGCAACAAGGCTCAGTGGCAGGACTGCGCTCTCTCTCTCTCTCTATCTATCCCTCTGTTTCATCACTCTCTCTTTCTGCTAAACCACTATCTGTCTTTTTCATCACTCTGTAGGTCTGCTTCCATCTGTCTCTGTCTCTCCTTCAGCCCTCACAGGCTTTATCTCGTCTCTCACTATTTTATCACTCCATTGATAGGCTTCTGTTTCCCTCTCTCTCTCAGTCTCTCTCTTTGAGTTTCAGCCCCTCGTCTCCTCATTCATCTAAAGTTGCTCTTTCCCTCGGCCCCCCCGTTTTCCCCTCTCTCACTCTCTGTCAGCATCATGTAATGGAAAATATGTGATGAACATTTATTTTTTTATAATTTCATCACGGATAAAAAATAAAAACAGGGATAGATTTAAGGCACGAATGTGGGATCTGGAAAGTGAAGCTAATGCAGAAGAGACTGCATGTCCAGCAGGGGGCGCCTCCTGTGGCTGTAAAAAGAAGTCCCTGGGTAAACGGCTCAACTTTTCCCTTGATTTGTGAGCTCAGCACACACTTTCATTATCGGTTTGTGGTGTCTAGTTTCAAGTCTTAATGAATAAAACATGATTTAAAAAAAATTACTGCTCCCAAGGTTATGCTTGATCATGTGACTGACAAATTAGTTACACCAGCTGTACAGCGCACGATCAGTACTGTGAAACAAGTTCAGTCAGAAGCTGATTAACCAAACGATTAGAGTTGGAACTATTCAACCATTTTCTTTTCATCACACTACACTAATAAAAATTTTTAAAAGTTTTATGTAAAACACATTTTTGTTTAAAAATGTGTTGACTTCTGTTAATTAAGGTAACAATAACTCACTGCTGTAACTATGCAAAGACAAACTGTGCTCCCAACTGTAGAGTGAGCCCCCCACAGTCCAACAAAAACCCCCTACCTCTTTCCTGAAATTACCAGGAAGAACTGGAAATGTATAAACGTTTGTGGAAGAAGAATTTATAGCAGTGCTGTTGGATTGGA